CTTCCACACGCCCCAGCTCCTCGCTCTCGAATGACGAGCCGGGAAATAAAAATAGCGTCCCAACGACCCCCCCAGATGGCAGGCCATCGCCTATGCAAGAGGTTACGGACACCCATCTGGCCGGATGGCAGCGGGAAAGCGCAGATGGAGGCGGATGGCAGAGAAGGCCGGAGCTTACCTGAGCAGGGCGGACGGGTATGGCGGCGGCAACAGCGACGGAGAAGGCAATCTACCTTCACTTCCGGCCCGCGGCTCCGCGCAGGCGCAAAGGACCGGAAGAAGAACCTTCTGTGGGTCGGACGACTCCCGCGCTGAGGGGCCGCCGCGGGCCAATGCCTGGCGATTGCTCGGTGAAAGCCGCTTCGGACGCCCCCGCGACTGCGGTTTCCTGAATGGCGGGAAGCTGGCCGCGGACAGCGGAGGGCGCCATATTCGGGGTCCCTGGGTCCCTTCAACCGGGAGAACGAGCCAACATGGTGGGCGTCGCCAGTCCTGCCGGCTGCCGGTGCCCCGAAGGGCGCTGGACCTCGAATCCCGTGGGAAGCAGGGTTCCCATTCTAAGCCCGGGCATGCAAGGTCATGCAAGGTCAAGGCTGAGGTGTGAAGATCGTGGTATGACAGCTTCGTTCTGAGCCGGAGGTTTGTGGAAGGCTGCAGATGACAAAGGGGGGGGGGACCCCTAAATCCATTTTGAGTTTCCAGAGATGCTCTGGGAAAGACCAGCGACCAGCCAAGTAAAACGCGTTGGTGTGAGGCCTAGTGTGTTTGAACGGGAATTGCTCGCCCTCCCCTAGCCAACCCAGGAAGGAGCAGCCTTGACCTCAGGAACTTACCTGCTTGTACCTGAATGGAAATCGGGGCGCTCGGGGCTCAGGGTCATGACCCAGGTGGTCGGAGGTCTCCGGGCTCTTCTAATCAGCACGGTCCTTCCTACAATTGTAATGAATTCACCCACTGATCCATGATTTTGTGACAGCTCTTTTTTTCCCTATTTAAGGAAACAGGATGAGTTAGTGCACCCAGTGGCATCACCCGAGAAGGTTCTCTGGTCACAGTTAATTAAGCCATGTGGCTGGAATCACTGCTTCATATTTATGGTCTCCCTTATCCAAAGTATGTTTTTTTTCTCTTTGTCTTGTGGTTGTCCGTTTAAGACTGAATAAATGGTTATCTATAAAGTACATTTGAATTTGGGGTCTTTCCCCCAAAAAACAACATAGAACATGGTTTCCATAGCCAAGAGAAATAACATCGATTCAAGGATAGTGTCATACAAAGGTCATCTTACCAATCAATTGTGATTTAAGCTAATCAACATTTATCCACTTATGGGGTGACACCCTAAGCAGGGCCAATCCTGCCGAGAGCCCGAGGAACTGACCAGGAGTTGCTTGTGAGTTGTGGGAAGGTTATTCACGGAGGCACAGTCCTGCAGACCTGGGGCAGCCAACAGTCAGGTTTGGTCCATGCCCCACTTCATGTAAGCAAGGGGTCTATACTGCAGGGGGCGGGGGGATGGGGTGTCTAGGAGGCAGCCCTAGAGCAGCTCCACTGGCTGGGGACCCTGCATCAACATTTCTGGGAATTGCTCCTGCAGTGACAGCCCACCATCACCTCCTCAAAATAGCCTTGGTGATGACATGTTCTTGGTGGCCAGGGGTAACCGTCCCAAGGGAGGCTATAAACCGATGGGACATGGGGGGTAGGGGAGCCTCCTTGTTAATGCAACACCACCTGGTACGAGTGTACTGGTACACCTGGGCTCACCATGACTGGGTGCATGAGTAGACACATGGGCTGAACAAAGTGTGAGGGAAGGTGGGGCTACCCTCATGAACGGAGTTTTGCCAAAGAGTATTTCAACATGTATGTTCACCTCTGCCACATATACAAGGGGTACTCTGAATTGCCCTGGCCAGAGCGGTGAGCATGGAACAACTTGCTCTGAGTTAGTGCGCCCAGTGGCATCACCTGAGAAGGTTCTTTGGTCACAGTTAATTTTTTTCGTGATAGCAGTCTGTTAGTCTGAGTAGACTAGAGAAACAAAACCATGGGTACACATATGTGTATAAGAAAGAGATTTATATGCAAGAGCAACTGAACATAGAAAAAACAGCCCAGTCCAGATCAAATCCGTCAATCCAATATTAGCCCATATTCCCGATATCAATCTATAAAGTCCTCCTCAGACTCACGAAACACATACAATGATGCCGAAGGCAGAAGATCACAGGCCAGTGGGTAGAAAGTCTTTGGATCCAGTGTCATTGTAAGCATCTCAGCGCTGGCAGGGGTCTCTCTGTGGCTTCTCCTGCTTCCGAGGTCTGGTTGCATCCATGTGGCTTGTCTTCTGCCATGTCTCCCAGGGAGCAGCAGAGAGAGAGAGAGGTGTCTTCCGCCTCCAAGGAGGAAGTACCAGATTTCCCAGAATTCTCAGAAGGCCATGCCCACAGAAGCCTCATTGGCTATCTCCAGATTGACAGCCTAGACTCCACCCCTACACTTTTAATCCTTAAACTGACACCAGACTAGGTGACTACCGCAAGCAGTTTCACTGGAGCCTCGTTTTTTTGTGATGGGCGACTTAAGAGAACTGTGTGGCTGTGAAATTTTGTTTTGTGCTCGGAAAAATGCCACAGAAGCTGTTGTGATGTTGAACACCGTTTACAAGGACAGCGCTCTGGGGAGAACCCAAATGTACGAGTGGTTTTCTCATTTCAAAAAAATGTGAAATGTCGATTGAGGACAAACCTCCTTCTGGACTTTAGTCAACTTCCCGAACAGACGAAAATGTGGGCTCATAACGCATTTGGAGTTCGTGGTTCCACCAGGTCAGACTGTTAACCAACGAGGGAGGTGCTGTCTAAACAGAGGAGTTTGAAAAATGATTCCAAGAACGGAATCACAGATTTGACAAACGTATGAAGTGTGCTGGAGAGTACGTTGAAGGTGAGAAGCTTGTTTCGTAAAAAAAATTACATAGCTTTTGGGGAAAAATGAAGCATCAGAGGTGAAGCGTTAGGGAACAAAATTTGGAACCCTTCTTAAACATAACCAAACACCTTGAAAGAACAAGATACTGGATCTGGAGCCTCAGGATCTTGGTCTCAGGCAACACCAAGGTCAACTGGCATAACATAGTCCACAAAAATTAATAGTTGAGGTCAGGGAGAGGTTAATAGCTGAGGAAGTGGGGAGCAAATAATGGCTATGGGACCAGAGATGATGCACTAGAACTGATTGTGGTGATGTAGATACAACTTTTAGAAATACTAGTGAACTGTGGAAATATATGATATGGGAATGTGGGAAAGAAAAAGGTTTTTCCCCAGCTTGTCTCCCCCAAATGTCAGACCTAGGACACTGCTTGCAACCAATGGCAAATGATTGTCAAGTTATCTCCCTAAAGGCATCAGCCATCCGGAGCTATCAGACTACTGTCTGGTCCACCTTAGGCAGGGATCACTCCCTGCTGTTAAGGACAATGGATTGCCTTCCCTGGAAAACTCAAAGTCAAACCACCAGCTCAAGGACAATCAAGGTTAGGCTGCCATCTTGAGTCTAGGGTCCACCCATCTTGTCACATGTGTACCCCTAGCCCCTCTCCTTCCTATTACATGTACACCACTAGTTCATCCCCCCTTCCTGTGATGTGTATGCCTATTGTACAACCCCTTCCTGTGACATAGGTCGTTACCTGTAATCAGGGCTTGCACGCCCCCCCAAAGATATATAAGGCTTGGTTAGAAATAAATCACTCTCTCCTCTTGTCTCCCATCCCCACGTGGACCACCTAAAGGGGCTGGGGTGAGCATGCTACCTTGAATGTGTCTGACTCCTTTATTGTACTCTCTCCTATCTCTTATTCTCTATGACTTTACTGTAACTTTTATATATTATAGCCTTACATTTGTGCCTTGGGCCTGTGATGTTGTCAAGGGCTGGTTCCCCTGACAATGAATTATATAAATAAAACTACTGGGGGAAAAGAAGAAAATAGTCAATATCCTCATTTGGTGAGTGGCATTTGGGGTCTTAGAAGCTTTATAATCAGCCATCTAAGGTGCAATTACTGGTCTCTCCCTGTGTGGAGCAAAGAATGAAGACAATAAAACACTCCTAGTAATGGATTAATGGACCACTCAAGCTTCGGTCTTCCCACCCTGAGACCAGGAAAGCAAGATGGTGCCCAGCTGCCCTGACATGGCTCATACTGAAAGGTCCTAGGTAGTGGAAAAAAACTGTGGAACAAAACTCAAAATCGTAAAAAGGCCAGACTTACTGACTGGTTAGAGACTGGTAGAACCCCTGAGCCTTTGACCCTAAGTCACCCTTCAAACCTGAAACTCAACTTACCCCCATGGCTCAGTGTCTTGTTTTTACATATCAACATAGTTTATTTAATTTATTCATTTTAAAAGTTTATTGTGGGTTCTTAACAGCTCATAACATTCCACACATCAATTGTATCGAGCATATTTACATAAGTTGCCATCATTTTCTAAACATTTACTTTTTTTTTTTTCAAATCATTTTATTAGGGGCTCATACAGCTCTTAACACAATCCATACACACATCAATTGTGTAAAGTGCATTTGTACATTCATTGCCCTCATCATTCTCAAAACATTTGCTCTCCACCTAAGCCCCTGGCAACAGGTCCTCATTTTTTCCCCTCCCTCCCATCTCGCCCCTCCCTCATGAGCCCTTGATAGTTTTTAAATTGTTATTTTGTCATGTCTTGCCCTGTCCGATGTCTCCCTTCACCCACTTTTCGGTTGTCCTTCCCCCAGGGAGGAGGTCACATATAGTTCCTTGTAATCGGTTCCCTCTTTCCAACACATTCTCCCTCTACCCTCCCAGTATAGCCACTCACACCACTGGTCATGTAGGGCTCATCCGCGCTGGATTCCCTGGATTTTCAGTTCCTATCTGTACCAGTGTACATCCTCTGGTCTAGCCAGATTTGCAAGGTCGAATTCGAGTCATGGTAGTGGGAGCGGGGAGGAAACATTTAGGAACTAGAGGAAAGTTGTATTTCTCATCGTTGTTACATCGCACCCTGACTGGCTCGTCTCCTCCCCGAGACCCCTCTGCAAGGGGATCTCCAGTGGCCTACTAATGGGCTTTGGGTCTCCACTCCGCACTCCCCCCATCATTCATTCACGATGGTAAGATTTTTTGTTCTGATGATGCCTTATACCTGATCCCTTCGACACCTCGTGATCGCATAGGCTGGTATGCTTCTTCCATGTGGGCTTTGTTGCTTCTGAGCTTGATGGCCGCTTGATTACCTTCAAGCCTTTAAGACCCCAGACGCTATACTTTTTGATAGCCGGGCACCAACATTTCCTTTCTATTTGAGCTCCTCCACCCCTGCCCCCTCGGGAGTGGCTCAGTTTCTGATGAAATAGCTCTTTAAGGGAAACAATAGGGAGGTATGCATACTTTGGATTCATCAACCATTTCAGATCAAATGGACAGCATTCGCCCAAAGATCAAGGTCAGAGGGTTAGAAGGCGTGGAAACAAGAAACCCTGGGAGGAAGTGCAGTCAGTGACCTTACAGTGTGGGGGCTGCAATCAATGGCAGGAATCCATGTGTATACAGTTTTTCATGAAAAACTGATTTGCTCTGTAAATCACTCAATTCACAAGTTTTAAATAAAAGTGGTGTCTTGTGATCTGTGGGCACAGCAGTGGACACTCCTGTCTCGGAAGGGCTTGCACAGAAGGGCAAGAAGAGAAACACCTGAATACAATGCAACGTAGCAATAAATAAAGCAGGGGAGGCAAAGTGTGCCTGTCCCTACCCCCCAGGTTTCCTCTACAGCTGCTATCTGTAGTCCCTCAGGCTCCCATATAAGGAACTAGCCTTTTCTGGCTTTGGAGAAAGGCTAAAGTACTCCTGCTCGTGTTTCTCCAGCATGACTCAAAGACCCGCCCTCGTGGCTGACGGGGAATGTGGCAACAGCAAGGAGCGTGGCTGCGCGTGAAGCGAAGACGCAAAAAGAGGCTGCTTTGAGGCACCAACGGCTCTGCGCATGGTCATTTTATTGACACATTTTTATTGTCACAAATAAGTGGACCCCAAAGGGACAGCGGGGTGCTGAGGGTGTGGGAGGAAAGCGGCACAGGAGGGACACGATGCCATCTTCGATCTCGGGAGTCAGCGAGCATCTGATGGGTCTTCCAGGAGGTTGGAAAAGGGGAAATTCCAATACTGAGAAAATACAGGATGTCCCTGGACATGCAAACCCACTGCTCTCTGATTCACAGTGACCCTCTAGGGCAGAGCAGAACTGCTCCTTAGGGCTTCTGAGGTTGTACATCCTTACTGCCAGACCAGCTTCATCTTTCCCTTGCAAGGCAGCTGGTGGGATTGAACCATCAACCTTTTGGTTAGCAGTCTAACACTTAAACCACAATGCTACCATGGCTCCTTAATGAACCTACTGCCATCTGATCCCGACTCCTTTCAACCCGATAGAGTGTTTCTGAGGTTTCGTAAATCTTAACAGGACTAGAGCAGGGTTGATGCATTTCAATGGGCTTTTGAAACCACAGGAGAGGGGCTAACTCAGGTCAGCATTCCTTCTTTCAGGGAACATAAAGCCAAGGGAAAGGGAGACGAGAGAATGACCAGTCACCGGACGGTTGGCATCAGAGATCCACTGACAGAAGCAAGGAGACGGCTGTGTCTAGATGTGGCACACGGGCAGGCAGTCACAGCCCTATGGCAGGGTTGTCAATTGGGGGATCACAGTTCCTAGATGCCAGGAATCACGCTAGGCTCTTTACAGATTGATTCCTAATCACTGCAGCCTCTCAGCAAGGGAAGCAGTATCTGTTTCACTGAGAGGGACGTTGTGCAGCGTGGGAGGGAAATCCAAACCCAAAGGCCCTGAAGTCCGGATGCTCCCCGAAGTCCTCCTTCTCCTCGCTCTTGTTCCACCTACGGGTCATACGAGGGTGACGAGGTTCCAGGGAGGGTCACAGGACAAGGGGATTCAGGTCTGAGCAGAATAGTTTACACATTACAGGAGAATTATTGGATCCTGCCGCCCAAAATTTCCAGGGAATGGAAAGACAAGGATGATGAGGGCAGGTGATTTGGGCTTGGGCTTTTTTTCCTCTCTCTTTTTGTGAGGAAGGGGACAAGCAGGGGGAGTGCAGCCCGGGGTGCGCCCTAGGCAGTGATCCGATAGTTGGGATGGACCTGGGGCCTGACTTCGAAGACCATGCCAAGAAGCTGGGCCAGGACCCGCTCCCGGTTTCTCTGCTGGGAGCTCTGCATGCCCTGCACTTGGCGCCTTGTGCCCTGCTCCACCTCCGCGGAGAGGTTCCCCTGGGAGCCCATGGCCTGGAGGGCGGAGGAGGAGAAGTAAGAGAAAGGGAAAAGCAGAAGTAGAGAAAGAAGAGTCCAGGTGTGCAGAGGAAAAGACCCAGGTGCAAGCCATCCCAGAAATCTCCAGACCCCAGGGACACCAACCCAACGCTCTTTCCCCTCAGACTGACAATTCCCCACCTCCACAACCCCCAGGACCATAAAACCCCTGGCCCCCTCCACACCAAGTATGATCATTCTTCTCATAGCCAGTGGTGTCTTCTCCCCAAATTATACATATCCTTAAAAATTGCCACACTCTTATGTATCACAACAGCTTGACAAATGTCCTCCTTTCTTCCTGTTGGTGCATTCCCAACCCGTTGCACCCCTGACTTGCATCCTGAGTCTGCCAAGTGGGCCACCACTCCAGGACTCACCGCCTGCTGCTTGCTCTGGAATTCCTGCTCTCGCTCCCTGCGGTACTGTTCCACCTCCATCTGGGCTTCCTCTTTGGCCTGCTTCAGCCGCCGGGCCTTCCCTAGAAGCAGAAGATAGGGTCCACGACAGGAGTGGACATCACTACCACCACCCCCACCACCCCCACCCCCGCACACACACAAAAAGGGATAAAGAAATAGAGAAGGAAGTGTCCAGATGTACAGAGGAAAAGATCCAGGCGCAAGCCCATGGAAACCACCTCATCCCACAGAAATACCGAGCCCCCCAAGATTCGAATGCCTAGCCATTTCTTTCCTCTTGATGAGCTCCTATTCCCCAGCTCTTTCCCTACCCCTTCGCTTTTCCGAAAGGCTGAGATGTTTGCGCATTTTTGTTCTGGACCGCATAGGGCGTAAAGTGGACACTTACTCTTTCGGGCATCTGCCACCTTTTCTGCGGCTCGCTTCTCAGCTTGCAGGAGCTGCTGGATGCCTTGGGACTGACTGGCCATTGCTACCGCGATCACTGATGCTGCTGCGGATGCTACCAGGGTACCAGATGGCTCCCACCCCCACCTCCTGCCTTTCCTCCTCCTCCTCGATGCTGCAATCCCCCACTACGCCTGGGTCTTAGCGCTCCCCTTTTTCACTCCGCTTCCTGCATCCGGTGTCCCCCAGAGCAGCAAACGGTCCCTACGGATGGCTGGTCCTCCTCGCCCCCAGCTCACCCTGGCAGTGCCCAGAACGACCGCTTGGGGGCAGCAGAGACCAGGTCCAGAGATGCCCGCTAACAGCGACCCCGGAAACTCGAGCTCAGGGCCACCGAGGCGACGCCCACCTTTGCAGAAGCCGGACCCGGTCGAGCACGGCAGCTCCGGAGAGGAGGTTCGGGGTGTGGAGAGGCGAAGCGGCGGGCTGGGAGGGAAGAGAGCGTGGCCCATGGTGCCCAGACGGGAAACGGAGGATGCTCTCCAGCGACGTGTGCTAAACTTCTCTTCAGTCTCCTGCCTTCTTCCCTCGCTCCCTCCCATCCCCGTCCTATGTCTCCCCTGATCTCACTGTAATTTTGTTGATTTGGGGTTGTTTTTTTTGGGGGGGAGGTGGTTTGGTGGACGTGTTTCGTTTGCTATTTCCACCGCGGTTTGCTTCCGTCTCTGTCTCTGTTTTCCCGCTCACCGTTTTCCTGGCGCTGAACTTGGCCTCTGTGCCCCCGCGGGGGCGGGGGGGCGTGTGAACCTCTAAACCCCGCGCCTCCCCCTCCTGGGGCTGCTGAGTGGCGATTCAAACCCACGAGCCGCTCGGCAGGAGGACAACGAGGCTTCCTACTTGCAAAGCCAAGAAGAAACCCCACAAAGGTAGTTCCACTCTGCCCTCTTTTTTATTTTTTTAATCCCCAAAAGTCGCTTTATTCAACAAACTTGAAGGGAGTTGTGGTAGCAGTCATGAAGTTTGAATGAATAGCAGTAATCCATTGCCGTTTCTTCATATTTCATTCTCTTGAAGTCAGTGACGACACTGCTATTCTTGCTTGTTCGTCTAACAAATAACTTACCTTTAGAAAAAGAATAAGGGTTAAAAAGGTAAATGTAAAGCCCTGCAGCCACTCTGCCCTCTTGCCTAGCCTCTCCCTCACCTCGGGTCCAGGTTTCCGGGTCCAGGCGGCCCCTTTTTCTAAATCCCGTAGTTTCCCACCCGGAAGCTTGACCGAGGACCCGCCCTCTCGGGGCGGAACGACTTCCTGTAACACCCCTGACGTTCCCTGCCACTCTCCGCCTGCGTCCCTGCGTCACTTCCGCCAGCCTGGGGTGTCTCCGCCCTTCCCGCCTACCCGGCTCGGAGCGTCTTAAAACTCAGCTTCGGGCCTGCAACTCGGGGGGCGTTCGGGGGGCGGGGGGCAGGTCTGATGAGTGACCCCTCCCCCCAGGCCCTAGAGGAAGAAGCCTCTACTTCTGTCTGCCGGGTACATTATATTCAATTTCTAGATGATTCCTTACAACTATCGGTGACTTCTTAAAATTCAGCTTTTCTGCTCCTAAGAATGTCCCTCATCAGTCTCTCGTTGTCTGATTCAAAACCCTTTATTAAAAATTAAACTGTACCTGGGCTCCTGAGTCTTAAAGCAATTATGTGTCTTTTCAAATTCTACACTAAAAAAAAAAAAAATTAAATCTGCGTCCCCAGCCCCCACTCTTTTTGTTTGCAAGCCCGTCCCTGCTCAGAATGGATGACCCTTCCGAAAGGCGTCATCTCTTGATGGCGGCTGAGGAAGAAATGGGGAGCTGAAGGGAGAAGTAAATGGACGCCAGTGATGGCGGGAGAGAGGTCAGCCACGGCGGGTCCTGATTGCAGCTCTTTTCCTTTTTCTGCAGCCCAGGAGTCCCATGGCCTCCACCTCCCGTCGCCAACGCCGAGAGCGTCGCTTCCGTCGTTACTTGTCTGCAGGACGGCTGGTCCGGGCCCAGGCCCTCCTCCAGAGACACCCAGGTCTTGATGTAGACGCTGGGCAGCCCCCCCCACTGCACCGGGCCTGTGCCCGCCACGACGCGCCAGCTCTGTGCTTGCTGCTTCGGCTGGGGGCTGACCCTGCCCACCAGGACCGCCATGGGGACACAGCACTGCACGCTGCTGCCCGCCAGGGCCCTGAGGGTGAGTCTGCCCGGTGGGGACAAGGCCAGCGGTTGAGATAGAAACTAGTTGTCCAGACAGTGGGACCTGGGGTAGCTGGCCGAGTTGGCGTGTGACTGACTGCCATCGTGCCTTTGCATTGCTGAATGACCACAATCCCAAGAGCCTGGTGTCCCCAAGATCGCCACCAGTCTTCTAATGCCCCATGTTTCTCGATTGACAGCCACTTCGTGTCTTGACCAGTTGTTTACTGATAGCACAGAAACACATATTTGACTTCCAAAATTCTGGTATCCTTTTCATCCTTCGAAGCCTGTTACTAACACGACCCCCTCTAGGTCAGCAGTTCGAAACCACCAGCTGCTCCACAAGAGAGGGCCGAGGCTGTCCGTTCTTGTGAAGATGTACAGTCCGAGTAACCCACAAGGGCAGTTCTACTCTGTTCTGTGGGGGCCCCATGAGTTGGAATCAACTAGATGGCAGTGAGTCTGATTAGGTCCAACCTGGTAGCCTAGTGTGTTCCCATGGAACTGCTAACCACCAAGTCAGCAGTTCAAAACCATCCACTGCGCCAAGGGAGAAAGATGAGCTGTTCTAGGCTAACCTCAGAAACCCACAGGGACAATTCAGCCCTGTGCTAGGGGGTCACCTTCAGTCAGAATTGTGAGTTTAGTTCAGATTAGCTCCGCCACCAGGTGGCCTTCTAACTCCTTGGTCAAAAAACTCTTGTCCTTCGGTTTCCAGCTGCTGCAGAGAACCCCTGCCCTGCTTAATAACATGCAGATATGTTCCTCGATCCGATGAAATGACCCAGAACCCCTTAGTTTTGCACTTCAATTCTCCTGTTAGCCGGGAGGGCTGTGCCAGTTTGTAATGGATTGGCTAACCTGGGCTGTACCACCCACACCGACTCCAGGGAATGGCCCCTACTTTGGGCCTCTTTTTGAGGAGCCCTGGTGGCATCGTGGTTATGCATTGGGTTGCAATCCTCTGGGTCCACAGTTTGAAACCACCAGCGGCTCCAAGGAGAAAGATGGGACTTACTCCCGTAAAGTTAGTGTCAGAAAGCCCCAGGGACAGTTCTTCCCTGCCCTCTAGGGTCACTATGGGGCATCGACTCAATGACTATGAGTTTTATTTTGTTTTGGTTTTGGGGAGAGGCCTTTTGTTAGCTTCCCAGACAGCCATCGCTCTCCACAAGAGTTAGCCAGAGAAAGAGTGAACATTGAAAAGCAGGAAGCTCGTTTTCTCAGTTGTGCAAAAAGATCACATCCAAACCTCACCTAGTGTTCTTCTCACAAATGTGCACATGCTTCTGCTCTGTGCCAGCACAATGCCAGCCCTCTAACACCCACCATCCACTTTAATCTGCACTGGTGAGGTAGGCGGGGCCCAGTGTTTCAGGTAGCCAAGCCCTCCAGTGTATGCCAGGTGGCTCTTTCCAACCTTACCGCCCACAAACGTCTGACCCCAATAGGCCTTTTACAAGCCTGCCTGACTCTTGCCTGTAGCCTTCTCCTGAAACTGACTTCCACCTTGCTAAGAATCGCCCTCCCTGTCAGGGCGCTCTGCGGCAGAATTGTCTTAGTGACAGTGAGCTTTGCTAGCCCAACAGAAGTCCCGTCTTCCTTTACGTCTTCTCCAGCCCCACCCTCTGCTGTCACCTTGCCCTCCTCCGAGCTGCACTCGGCCACCCCCCACTGCAAACTCCTGATACCGCATTTTTTACAGTGTCTCTGTCTCAGTTAATCCGTAGTTTCTCAGACGTATTCGGCCTACTGTCCCCTTTTCAGGAAACACACACACACACACAGAGCTCGGCTCTTCCTTGGCAGTTAAAATCTATTGTACTGTAATCCAGGATAAAGTGTAAATATCTGTATTTGCAGCCCCCCTGAATCATTCCGGTGCCTGTGCCCCAGATGTCTGGACAGTATCACCCACTTTGGGAAATACAGAGTTAAAATGCATGAAAGGGGTTCAAAAAAAATTCATGAAAAAAGTCCATTATTTGTCAGTTCTTTTCTTTCTTTCTTTTTTTTTTTTTTTTCAGTTGTTTTTTTCATGAACTTTTTGAAGCCCCCATGTACAAAACCCTTCAAGGTAGCAATCCTGTCTACCCATGACTGGGAGAAAAGCGATGCTTCCATTACGGAAGAGAAAATCAAGTTTTCATCCACAGTATTTTTTATACTTAATTTTCCCCAAGGTAAACGTACACGTGAGTTAAGGAACCTAGAGAAAAGCAGCCGTGGAGCGCTGAGTGGATGGTACAGGTGGCCTTGCAAGCACTGGCGTGGGGCCAAGCTCATATTTTGTTCATCTGACTCACTCCGGACTCAAAAGTCTGAGCCAGCTTAAATCCCTACAGGTGACAAGGAGGGCACACACCAAATTCTGCAGACAGGTTGTCCAGGGGACTTCTAAAAGAATAAACAAACAACCCAAATTCACTGCCATTGAGTCGATGGCAACTCATGATGGCCCTAGAGGACAGAATAGAGCTGCCCTGGGGGGTTCTGAGACTAACTCTTTACGGGACTAGAGAGCCTCCTCGTTTCTCCTGCAAAGAGGATGGTGCTTTCAAACTGCTGGGTTTGCAGTTAGCGGTCCGCCGGTAACCCAGGACACCCTGGGACTTTTAAGGAGGATTAAACTTGGAAGGAGATGTCCGAGAAAGCTTTCCCTTGATCTAGAATGGTTTTTGGAAAAGGACATCTTGTTTATTAAGTAGAAGGGCAGCCAAGCAAAAGGGCGACCTTTGACAAGATGGGTTGACTGACAGCCACTGCCGCGGTGGCCTCCAGCATGGAGGAGGGCGTGGCACGGTGACTTGGAGCCGACTCACGGGCGCTGAGCAACACGGCGCGTTTTTCCTTTGTGCATCATGTAGGATGACGTGGCCAACGTGCAATAGGAACATAGCATGTGGTATACGCCTAAAAGATGCGTGAAAAGTAGCAGAAACTCCAAGGGAACGTTTTTCTAATCCTGGAGGGAGGGAAGCCGTGGTGAGCAGGATGCAAAGTCAAAAGTCCTTAGAGAACAGATGCCACAAATGTACCCGAGTCACGTGTTTGAGGACCGGGGAATGTTTCACCAGCTACAAGAGGGACTTCAGAGGTTTGTGGGGAAATTCCAGTACCTTTTCAGTCCGTTTTCCAGTGACTCTGAAGCCCTCATGTACATAACTCGTAACAAGCTAGCCTCTATACGGGCCTCTCAAAAGCGCTCTCCTGTCTATAACTTTCTGTTAAAAGTGGGCAAAGAGTCTGAACAGGTCAAGTCCTTCATCAAGAATGAAAAAGAGGGCAACTTCATTAACAAAATCTTTTTTTTCATCTGTTGGATGAAATGAAAAGGATGGAGCCTAATTTTCCCACAAGCTTTTTGAAGCCCCCTTGTACATTTTTTGGGGAGAAAGACAGGGCTTTCTCCTCCCGTTCACGACTGCAGTCGGAAACTCACGGGGCCGTTCTCCCCTGTATCCTGTCGGGGGGCTGAGGCAGTATTGACTTGATGGCAGAGTTGGGTTGGGTTTGGGGTGTGCTTGGCGAAGGCGCGCATTGGCACAAACACCTTTGAGAGTCATTCAGCAGCACTGGATATGCCTTTTGACTCAGAAATTCCATGTCTAACAGTCTGCCTGCCCGACACAAGCCCTGAACCAGTCCGCAAAGGCGTGTGTGAGGCTGAACGTTTTCGGAAACAAGTAAGATCTGGAGTGAGGGAGGTGTTAGTTTCATACAGTAGTGGAACACTACCATTCATGTAAAAGGGAAAAAAAAAAAAGGGTTGACCTGAATACACTCCTGTGGAAAATACAGATGAGAGGCTACGTGAAAATAAGTTGCTCCAACAGTACGTATGGAACAGGCAGGGGGGTGAGTGGTCCTGTGTACGTATGAACTTGGAAGTAAGACTAGAAAGGGTCACAGCAAGCCCTTAACAGAGACCAGACTTATTCTCCATTCTTTGAAAAGAGAGATTCCATTTAACCCTATTACTTTCAAACTGAAATAGCGAATTAAATGGAAGTCCTTCCGCTCTTGTTGTGGTTTTTTTTGACCTATAGAATTTCCTCTCACCCTCGTGTAATTGTGACTGGATCCTCTATATGATTTTAGAGTCTGCTTTTACCATCTAGCTCCCATGTTTTCATATTGTCAGGAGCCTTACTCCGCAAAGTGCACGAGTTTGAAACCCCCCCATTTCAGCCTGAGCATCCATCTGCATACTGCATGTTTGCAGTGGACTTGGGTGGGGAAGAAGCATTTGAAAGATAAAGTCATGCACTTCTTATTAGGGTAGCTTGGAAGGGCCAGGAGAAAGACCCTTAGCTTGGGTTGGGGCAGCACTCAAGTAGCCAGGGGATGGGCAAGGGTGGTGGGCCGCCTGGGTCTGCCTGGCCGCAACAGGGCAGTCCTTGCCCCTTTCCCCTGCCCCGTCCTTTTGCCAGATAACCAGTACTTGCCAGCTCCACAAGAATCAAGATTTATGAACTGCGGCCCGTTTCCTCCTGGCCTAGGAAGAGAAAGTAGGTCCCGGGAAGGGAGCTGCCTCGCTCACCTTCCCTGGCATCAGAGCATCAGAGGGTAGGTAGCCTCCCCGTTGGCCTGGGACACACACTACTAGGTTTGGCTGTGACGTGAGCGGCACTGCACTGTGTCCGCCAAGGACAGGACCTCAGAAAGATCCATTCCTCTCTTGTTTTCCCACCGCCTCCTCTTGGCCAGCCCCTGTGAGCCCTCCCCCTTGCCCTAGGTCAGCAGTCATTTGCAAAGCTTTCTCCTGTGGCCAGAACACCCTCCCTCCTCATCGCCATCATCCTTGTCACACCCTGAGTAAGACTGACTGAGAGAAATGGCCCTGGTAGCATTTCTCTTTGTCGGGTAATGGAGAAATAAAACCAACAGGCGGTGTTACGTGTGGGTACTTGTAACATGCAGAAAAGGACCCCGCTGGCCTAAGGGTTACACGTTAGGCTTCTAACCGTAAGATCAGCAGTCCAATCCCCCACCCCCACCCACCCCCAGCTGCTGCTCGGGAGAGAGATGAGGCTTTCTACTCCCGTAAAGAGGTTCTGTCTCAGACCCACAGGGACCATTTTGCCCTGTCCTAGAGGGTCGCGATGAGTCACCATCCACTCACCGGCTGTGAGTCTGGTTCCATGATACAGAAGACTCGACGGAGGCTGAGGTATAATTTGGGGTGAGAAACACACTAAGAGGTCTATAGTGACAAGATTGACAATATTTCTAAGCCCACGATGGTCAAAGGATTTTTTTTTTTTTTTTACTTTTTATTACAAATTAGGCACAAGCTTATAGAACGGACCGTCAGTTTACTTTCAATGACTCACCAAACCTCCCACTGTCTTAACCTGTTCCATCATTTGTGTCTATCTCCCTCTTGCTGGAGGTTGTCTGTCCCCACTCTAGGCCGTGTTGGTCCAAGGACTTGATATTACCCAGGTTAGCTGGAGGCAAGCCAGGAAGCATGTCATGGCGCAATAGAACTTCCAAGATACTAAAATCGTTTGTGGAGACGCCGGTCAGAGGATTTCGGTGTTTGGAAGGGTGGCATAGGTCACCCTGATGCAGTTGCTACACCGGCAGTCCGAAGCGTTCAGTCGCCGATGTGCCGGTCACCCTTCTGCGTTGGGTCAACTGTCAGAACTTTCCAGTGAGAGAGATGTCCTCCCCCCCAGAGGCAGACTTGGCTTTGACACCCAGAGAGTAACCACAGGACTCCTTGGGATTCACGGTGCCCCTGGCCAAGCCTGGGGAACCAAAGCTAACTTCTGCCTCCTGCTCTCCCACCAACAGCCTACACGGACTTCTTCCTGCCCCTGCTGAGCCGCTGCCCTTCTGCCATGGGAATAAAGAACAAGGACGGGGAGACCCCTGGGCAGATTCTGGGCTGGGGGCCCCCCTGGGATTCTGCTGAAGAAGAAGCAGAAGATGACGAGGCTTCCAAAGAGCAGGCATGGACGGAAAAGCTGCAGGGCGAGCTGGAGGCCGAGTGGCAGGAAGTCATCGGGAGATTCGAAGGTGAGGGCTCCGTCCCTATCGACAGCTGCCCCTTGACCCCTCTGGCTGCCTTTCCGGCACCCATGGCCCCGACGGAGGTTCCCACTGCCTCCTTCCTCTCTGCCGCCCGTCTCCTTTGACCCTGCCCCTTCTCACAGCCTGTCCCCCGCCTAACCCCAAACAGATGACGCCTCCCATGAGGCCCAGGAACCCGAGTCCTTCTCAGCCTGGTCGGACCGCCTGGCCCGGGAGCATGCCCAGAAGCGGCAGCGGCAGCAGCAGCGGGAGACCGAGGGAGCCTGCAGATCCCAGCGGGCTGAGGGTTGCAGCCGCAGTTGGCGACAGCAGGAGGAGGAGCAGCGGCTCTTCCGAGAGCGAGCCCAGGCCAAGGAGGAGGAGCTTCGCGAGAGCAGAGCCAGAAGGGCCCAGGAAGCTCCAGGGGACCAGGGCCCAGAGCCAGCCAGGGCTGGGCCCAGGGCCGAGCACACCAGAGGGACAGGGAGGGGCAGCCTCTGGCGCTTTGGTGATGTGCCTTGGCCCTGCCCTGGGGGAGGGGACCCAGAGGCCATGGCTGCAGCCCTGGTGGCGAGGGGCCCCCCCCTGGAGGAGCAGGGGGCTCTGAGGAGGTACTTGAGGGTCCAGCAGGTGCGCTGGCACCCTGACCGCTTCCTGCAGCGTTTTCGGAGCCAGATTGAAACCTGGGAGCTGGGTCGTGTGATGGGGACTGTGACAGCTCTTTCCCAGGCCCTGAATCGCCATGCGGAGGCCCTCAAGTGACCCCTGGACGGCTCAAGGAACGGCGGGGATGCAGCCTCAGGGGTGGGGTGGAAGGAAGAGTAAGGCCCAGGGTGGGGAAGGCCAGGATGAGGCAGATGCCACACAGTGGATAGAGGAGGGAGTGAAACCTGTAACCGGCGGCAGCGGCTGGCACAGGGCATGCAGCCGCCACCCCTGCTCCTTGCCTCTGCCCTTTCCTAACAAGACCGAGTTCCACATCACGCTCCAGTGTCTCATCTGCCTTTTTCCACGGCCGTGGTTTTCACACTCACGACACCTTCCCTACTGCTCCAGCCGAAACCCGCAGCTCCTACACACCTGCTGCCTGCACGCACAGCCCAGCGCAGGCCCTGGCCTGGAGGCGAGATGCGTCCTTCGAAGCCAGGCTCCAGCCGCCCAGCTTGCCCCTCAGACCCCCTCCCACCCCGGGTGCTGGGGTCCTCTCACACCGCTGTCGGCGGCTGGGCAGGTGGATGTGAACAGAGACCAAAAGGGGAACAAGGTTAGTTTCCCTCCTCCCTCTAGGTCCCCCCGACCAGAACCACATCCTCCCTCCGGCACAGGGCTTTCCCTCTGCTGAGTCACACAATCATCTGAGTTGGGGGGCAGAGGGGCCAGGAGGCTGTGGGAGGATGAGGGGGCCAGAAACAATGGATGAAGAGCCTTGCGGGGGAGTGGAATTTCGATTGCTAAAAATAGGAGCCAGGGGAAGGGAGGCGGAAAGAGCCCAATTATGTAAGCTGGGCTGTTTGTTCTTGAGCAACCAGAGATCCACACCCAAGGCCAGCTGTTTGTCCACTTGAACTCAGCCTGGTCTTTCTCAGACCCTCTGCCTTCACAAGCCCAAAGCTGGTCTCCCTCCATTGACATTTCTCCCCCAGCCAGGTTCTCCCCGCCCCCCCCATCCCAAACCTGGGCTTTATCTCTGGACCTCAGGCTTGCCTTTTGAGACACGCATCTCCTTTCCTCCAGAACCACTGGTGGAGGTCCTGAGGGGCACAGGGAGCGAGTGAGCCCCCAACAAGGTGGGGGATTCATCCTCCTTCTCCACTCATCCCCGAGGAAACTACCAGCCCCCTGCCATCTCCCAGGACACAAGTAGGGATTCCGCAAAGAGGCAATGCAGGGCCAAGAAGAGAGAGTCAGAGACAAGCCGGTGTGGGCACCGTCTGCCCCGGCGGACCCCCGAGACTCAAACGAGGAGTGGTGTTGGGTCCAGGTTGACACAGAAGGTGACCAGAGCTGGCAGGGGGAGGAGACAGAGAACTGGCAGGGGGTCCTCTGGAGACATGAGGGGGTCGGATGGGGAGATCTTCCGGGAAGACCATCTGAAGCGGAGAAAGGGGCCAAGGCCCCTGGGAGAGGAGGCAGCTGTGGAGGAGCAGAGGCAGGGGAAGGACGGGGGAGAACACTCCTGTGAGAGGAAGCTGCTGTGATTCAGAGAAGCGACGGAGCTGTGAGCAACCCAGGCATCCGCTTCCTCTCACAGGCCGTAGACTTCGGAAGTGGCATGCAAAGAACCCGGGTCTGTAAGGAGGGGGCGTCGGGGTGAGGGATGCCTCAGCAGGGGGCTTCAGAGGTAAGCAGCCCAGAGCCATGGCATCCCTTCTTGCCACTCCACCCCGGATAGGTTTCTCCGGTTGTAAGCACAGCGTTCCTTTGCGAGACTCAGGAAACCGAAGCACAGCAAGCCGTGGTCCCTGGCCCTCCAGACATCCCCCTTGTCAACGTCCCTCCCTGGTGTCTGGCCCCCAGTCCTGGTGGGGGTTCCCCTGAAATGAGGGCTGTTCACTTTCTCTGACCACATGGTTTCCGCTCCAGTGTCTCTCATTTCCTAGGCTGATAAAAATACTAAGCCCCAGAGGACCTTGACTTCCTCCGACCTGGTGGGGCCAGGCAGCAGGCATCCTGTCCACCCCAACAGGGGTGGGAAGGAGGCCCAGGGATCCCCAAGGGGTGACTCAGTGCCTACCATGACATGGGGGTTGGACGTATGCTTGCCTCTGCTCTCTAGAGCTAGAACCAGGAATCCAGTCTCCACAGAGGACGCCCTGGGGAAGGAGGCTGGGGAGATTGAATAGAAGAAGCCCCTTTGGGATTTGAAGGCCAGCATTGGAATTGAGACGGGTCTAACTTAAGATCTGCCAGGGATCTCTTCCCACTGAGCATCCAGGAGCCCCAAGTTCAACTTCATTCCCTGCTTTCTTGACCTTTGCAATCCAAGAGAGTGAGCCCCATACCTAATGGTAACTGTGACCCAATGCCTGCTGAGTGAGTCGTACAGTAGGGTAGAGTGGCTACAGAAAATAATTTGATGTGAAGGCAGTTGGGGGGGACTTCCAAAAGGGGGGGTGAGATTTTAACTTGCCCTGATGAATGAATGAATGAGAAGGATTTCAGCTGATGGAAGGGCACCACAGGTCAATGAAACGGCTTCAAACAAAGGCCGAGAAGTCAGAAAAGAAGAGATATCAGAAAAGACATGACTGTCCTGAGACAGCTACAGCATATGTGTAAGGGGGCATGCAGTCAGGGAAAGGACCACAGAGTGGCAAGATAAGGGATTTGAACCTCTGTAAGCAGGGGCACTGGACTGGTGACCACCCACTAGGGTGCTGTAGGCGTAGTCAAGAAGTACAAGGAGTAGGAAGAAAACTCATCTTTGAGCACCTACTATGTGTTAACCATGTCAAGCACTTGATCCAACATTCAACTATCCAAAATAGGGTGGCGAATCCCCATGAGACAGAAGAAGCCAACAACTCACCAAGAGATTGTAAACTTGCTTAAGGCCACACAGCTAAAATGCCCTGGGGTGAGCCTTGTCTTAATGGAAGCCCGTGGGGAGACGGGAGAGGGTCCCCCACAAATCATCACAGGTCCGGTAGGTGCAATGGTACAGCGATAATAAGTAAAGATTATAGTAAAGTCATAGAGAGCACGAGAGGTAGAGGAGAGAGTTAAATTAATGGAGTCAGACACAACTCATGGCAGCATGCTCACCTAAGCCCTGCTTGGTGGTCCACTTGCGGGGAGCCAGCCATGAGAGCAGGAGAGAGCCTCGCGGCCAAGAGCCAGGGAGAGCTCCTTTCTTTATTGCTAACCAAGCAGTATATCTCTTTAGGGGGACATGATTACAGGTAACCACACGTCACAGGAAGGAGCAGTACAATAGGCACACACATTGTAGGAAGGGGATCTATGATAGGCATAAGCGTAACAGGAAGGGGGTGAGCTAGGGTGTGTCCATAGGAATGGGAAGGTCTAGGGGTATACATATGACAAGATGGGCGGACCCTAGACTCATGATGGTGGCCTAACCTTGGCCACCCTTGGGCAGGCTTGACCTCTCTGGCATCTCCTATAAGGAAACAGACAACTACTATCCTTATCAGAAGGGAGTGGGCCCTACTTGTGGGATAAACAGTGGTGTCTGCTTGGTCTAGATGGCCGATAATAACCCTTAGGGAGAATAGCCCTGATCTACTTCGGATGACCTCCAAGTGTACAGTCATTTGCAAGCAGCTAAGTCTGGCATATATTTGGGGGAGACAGCTTGAGAGAAATCCTTCTGTTTCCCATAGAAGCCCTAGATGTGAGACTGACATGCCATTAGAAGATAAAATATTGACGGAACAATTGCATTTCGTGAGATGTCCACAAGACTTCCTAAGAGAGCATGCACTTTGTAGGAGACAGGGTCGCCTTTTGTTTGGTAAAGTAAACAAAGGGAAAGAGAAGTTTAGGGGAAGGGAAGAAAATATACAGGGAGTTACAAAGCATAAATTTTCTGTTTGACAGTTTTATTGGCACATAATCCACATACCATACAATTCACTAGTTCAATCCTATGGAGAAGAGTTGTACAATCCTCACCATCATCAACCTTTATACCTTTCCTTCTTGTGCTCATCATTCTTGTTTTCCTTGTCTCGTCCTCATTGTTCTAGCTTCCCATATGCCCTCACCTGCCCTGCCATATCCCCAAGGGACCAGGAATCCAGTTCCTACCCTCGATTTCACATACAGAAAAACATAAAGTAAATAAACCTAGGAAGACCTCAATCGCAAAGAAAATAGAAAATATTAAAAACTAGAACAAATCTGAAATGGGTCAAAAGAGGTCAAATGATCTCATTTTAACCAAGCAACAGTTGCGACAATCCACTTTCCAGCACATTCTGCACAGTGGCCAGGCTGTTCACATCCCTGGTCCGCGATCAGAGGGCATTCACAGGAGGCTTAATCCACGTGTGTATTTCCCCTTCACCCTTTTTTTTTTTCCAAATGAAACAAATTTTAAATGGACCAAAGGGCCAGGGCGTGGTGCCCCAACAGACTGGACTGGAGAACACTCCTAAAGGCCAGCGATCCTTGAACTAACTACAAGCTTTTCTTTCGTGTTGTGTTTTAATTTGTTCTTTGTCAGTGGTTTGTTGTTGTTGTTTTGTT